AGAGGTTGCGGGTAGGAGGGTGGTCAAGGAGAGGAATGGGGGTGGGAGCAGGGCAGGGGTGTGGGTGTGGTTGGAGGTGGGGTGGGGATAGGTGTGGGGGTAGGTGTGGGTGTGGTTAGGGGTGGTAGTGGGTGTGGTTGGGGGTGGGGATGGTAGTGGGTGAGGGTGTGGTTGGGGGTGAGGGGTAAAAGGGTGGAATGGGGATTGGAGCAAGGCGGGGATGTGGGTGTGGTTGAGGGTGGAGGTGGGGGTGGATGTGGTTGTGGGTGGGTGAGTGGTCAAGGGGTGGAATGGGGGTGAGAGCAGGGCGGAGGTGTGGGTGTGGTTGGAGGTGGGGTGGGGATGGGTGTGGAGGTAGGTGTGGGTGTGGTTAGGGATGGTAGTGGGTTTGGGTGAGGGTGTGGTTTGGGGTGGGTGGTCAAAGTCAAAGGGTGAAATGGGGGTTGGAGCAAGGTGGGGATGTGGGTGTGGTTGAGGGTGGAGGTGGGGGTGGATGTGGTTGTGGGTGGGTGAGTGGTCAAGGGGTGAAATGGGGGTGGGAGCAGGGCGGTGGTGTGGGTGTGGTTGGAGGTGGGGTGGCGTGGGGATGGGTGTGGGGGTAGGTCTGGGTGTGGTTAGGGATGGTAGTGGGTGTGGGTTTGGGTGAGGGTGTGGTTTGGGGTGGGTGGTCAAAGTCAAAGAGTGAAATGAGGGTGGGAGCAAGGCGGGGGTGTGGGTGTGGTTGGGGGTGGGGTAGGGAGGGTGTTGTTAGGGGGTGAGGTTGCAGGTAGGTGGGTGGTCAAGGAGAGGAATGGGGGTGGGAGCAGGGCAGGGGTGTGGGGGTAAGTGTGGGTGTGGTCAAGGGGTAAAATGGGGATGGGAGCAGGGCGGTGGTGTGGATGGGTGTGGGAGTGAATGTGGGTGTGGGGTTAGGTGTGGGTGTGGTTAGGGGTGGGTGGTCAAAGGGTGGAATGCGGGTGGGGTGGAAGCAGTGCCGGGGCGTGGGGGGTGTGGGTGTGGTTGGAGGTGCGGTTGTGGGTGGGTGGGTGGTCAAGGGGTGGAATGAGGGTGGGAGCAAGGCGTGGGCGTGGGTGTGGTTGGAGGTGGGGTGGGGTGGGGATGGGCGTGGTGGTAGGTATGGGTGTGGTTAGAGGTGGTAGTGGGTGTGGGTGTGGATGTGGATGGGTGGGTGGGCAAAGGGTGGAATGGGGGTGGGAGTAGGGCAGGGGCGAGGGTGGGGGTGGGGAAGGATGTGGAAGTGGGTGTAGATGTCGATGTGGGAGTCGTAGGGTATGGTTAGGGGTGTGGGTGTGGGTGTGGGTGTCGGTAGTGGGGTGGATGAGGGGGGTATGGGTATGGGTGTGAATGTGAATGGAGTGGGGGGAGGTGAGGGTGGCGCGACGTAAGATTCGTAGGCTTAGAACTGTTTGTTAAAATCAATGGTGTTTTGTTTAAGTACGAGTTTTACGCCACTTGCAACACAAGTAAGTCATACGTTTATAAGTGCAGAAAAATTAGAGGTGTTACAAGAGAGTAAAAAACACGAAAATGAAGGAGCAGCGCTATAAGGGCGATAGATGCTTGATAGGAAAGAAGGAGTAAGCCACAGCAGAGCACCCACTAACCACCTTCAAAGCAAATCATAATATAATAATTGTTCTTTTTCTGTTTGCATTGATTTGGGTTCGGGATGAAGCTGGGGTATGGGGATTATAAATGTAACTGTGGGAGGGAATGGGTTGAAGGTTGGTGTGTTTGAGCATGATTATGTGAGTGTGCGAGAGTCATGGTGTATGCATCGTATGTGTGTGTGTGTGTGTGTGTGTGTGT